AAGCATAGACGTCTAGAGGTACTTGTGGCCGATTGTGACATTTACTAGTAATGTGTAATAGCGAGGAAAGTGTGAAAATGACAGCAAAATGAAGTGCGCTGTTTCTTTTCAAAAAATGTAATGTACATCACATCAATAAGTAACAAATTCACAAGTACAGTTACAAGTACCTCGTAGAAAAGAATTCCATAGTCAATATCCATAAACCGCAATTCTGAGTTCTGTTTTTTTTTTATACACTGAACAGAGACAGGCATTATATTAATAAAGACGTTTTCACATTAAAAGAAAATTTTTTTTTCTTTAATTTACACTTAAAGGGGAACAGAGTTACGAGTTGTCATTCGCACCTGCTAAGTTCCATTCACGTCATAACACTTGAAACAGATCGTTTGTAACCTCCAGTGAATGATAAAAGTGGAAAGGGAAAAAAAAAATCATGGTGTTTTAATATAGTCTATTTTTAGTGTTTGCTATGAAGCAAGTGTCCTGAATCACCTTTCTATGTTTTTTTTTTTTTTTTTTTAGGGGACACAATGGTATTGATGCTGGTTTCTGAGCAAATGTCACACTGTTTATATTTAGTACAGCAAATCAGGTTTTCAGAACACCTGACACATCTCCCATCAATTAGTGTACAGTACTTCAGATCAAACAAATTTCATTGCTCTACCTGTCACCTTCGTCTCCCCATAACAATCTAAGGTTAACCCCCTCCCCCGAGGACAAACTGATAAAGAATAAACAGCGCCATCATACCATTTTGTGTGTGTGTACTGGGTAGGTGTCAAAATAATTAGTTCAGTAAACTCCCATGCTAGGACAGATTACGAGATAATGTAACTATGACTACTGTTTGTCTCTTGTGCTCATACAAGGCAATTACTATTTACATTCAAAATAACTATGTTCCGTTCAATTTGACCAAAATGGGGTTTGACTGCGATGACAATTTTGCCTATATTTTACCGACTAAATGAGGCTCACTAAATGCAGGCAGGAGAAAATTTCAAGTTGACTCATTCTAAACCATATTACCAATCGTGTTTATTAAAGTGAAAGTACAGTTACCATAGCAACCTATCAAGTTGACAATAATAAAGAAGTGATGAGGATGATAATAATATTGAAAACTTAGTTTTCCAGCACACCCGCTGAATTTTCTTCCACTAGCGCCCTTCATTTATGATGCATACCCACGTTTTTTGATAAACATAGGAAAGCATGGTGGGGATCAGAAGACCGTATATAAACGCAGTTTAAATGAAATTATCTTGATCAATGATAGAACGTACTTTTATTTTGAAGAATTATCTAGCATGCTAGCCTCCAACTAAAGATAAAGTAACAGTGAATTCAAGGAAAAACAATCGCAGGCAGTTTTCACTGATAACATCCAGTCTTGGAAAGCAGCTAAAATATTCAGACAAGTGAATATCAGATCAAAACTGCTGTGACCTTTGTCGGTAAACGTTGAAAGCTATTAATTGTGTCATGTATTATTTCAAAAATTTTAGACTGAATCCTTATCTTTGTACTCAGAATAATAAAGATACGTCATTGACATACTGTATTAGGGAATGTTTCGCTGTTGGGACAAACTCGTTGCATCCCAGGGAAATTTCCTGAATTAGAATGTCTCACGAAATTCGCGAAAACGGTTTCTTACGAAATAAAAATGGTTATTAATAAATAGTCTTTCATGTGACTTTCCCACATTCATGAAAATTAAGATTAATACGGTTCACAGTACTACATTTCGTAGTTAATGATTCATTACTCCTAAGATATTGGAGCTGATCCAATGCAGCACTTGCAGGAAAATGTGAAATTAACAACCGTACTATTACTAAATTAAATTACTGTATAAAGTATATGACTACATTATGTATTATATTTATAGAATATACTTGAACTGTCAAAGACTATTGATAATTTGAGACGTGATTGGTCAAAAACCAGATACAAGTCACTGAAGAGTCAATATTAACCAATCAGAACAAGTCTTACAAATTCTTTTGTTTCGGGACTTAAATCAAATTAAGAAATCAAACACTGCTACGTGCGAGCTTGGAAAACACCTTTCAGTTCATCTAACTGCGTTATTGTTATTAAAGTTGTAAAACACAATGAGAGCAATGGATATTTTTAGCGAATCAATGTGCTCATGAAAAAGGATTGCCATTAGTATAATGCCTAAAAGTAGGGTGATAAAGAATGAAAGATTGCAGATCAATGACGATGATATAAAATCTGCTGTATCAGATACGATGCCAAAACCACCATGTTTTTTTTTCTTCTCGTTTTTTCATCCACTTAGATTGATAAATAATACCGTTTCATTTTAAAATTAAAACTGAAAACACAGTCTAAATATTAATAGTTAAATTTGGACATGCATTCAGCAATGTGATGGACGCCAATTATGAAAATTCAACTTGTCCATTCTTTTCCCACGCACAAAAAAAATAGAAACACAGTAATTAGTATTGACAGTGCAATGACAGGGTCAAAGGTCGACTCATTTTCATTTTCATTGTCAATTATTACATTCATTTCGCGGTAAATTTAATTAATTATTCTAAAAGTCTTCACACTCATCAATCCTCAATTTGCAAGTAGAACTGATTAGGTCAAACTTAAAGGGTCTATGAACGTTATACAAACACAGACCCTCGGTAACTATAAAAAATAAAAATCCAAATGAAACACTAGAATACCATATTTTCTTTCGTTCATCAACGTGAAAAGCTAGAATTAACAAGAGTAAACTCAAAAGAACGGTATCCACCACACAGAAGAGTAGCACATAATGAGACCATTAAAATGACACCCAGTGAACGCTGCCAGTGATTAATTGAATGATAATCTTCAAGTATTAAATCTGCCTAACGAGAAATGGCAGTTTGGATCACTCGAAAGTAGATCTTTGTCGACCATATTTTCCAATCACATAGCGCTGTTTCTGGACACAGACAGATTCAGTGAATTTCTTTTATTGCAAACGTTTTTTTGCTGGATCAATTTACGCAGTATGCCAGACAGGATTACTCGATATATCTGTATCCGGTTTTATGTAAATGCATTACGTATGTTTGTTTTTTAATCCATTGTTATTCGGTATGTGGTATTATCGTATAAATACAATGCATATATCAATATTAAATAGTCACCTTTTCAGTATTATCCAGTATTATTGAGTTAATGGTATTTTTTTTAGATGATGCTTACTTCAACATAGTGAAACTAAGAAAGCCTTGCCCTGCTTCTACTGCGAAATCAACTGAATGTGATTAACGCTAATATACATTATGTTTCATTTCATATCTCATTACAGAATGGTAATGGATATCCAACACCATAGCATTGAAGGGCAA